AAGTATGAGTAGGAAAATGGAATGAAATTTTATCAGTGGTTCAAAATTAAGCATCGCATTGGAAATGCCCAGAGAATTTTCAAAAATATGACTTCAGCATTTTGACAACCCCTTGGGAATATTTAAGTCAGATTTTTCTTTCTCTGACTTTCTTCCTGTCTCCAGCCTTCCTACTGTAGAGAAGAAAATGGTTGGATATGAGCAGTTAGCTTTTTTGTTTCTGTAAACCCATTGTACATTCAAACTACTTTGGATGCCAAAGGGGTAGTCATTATAAAGGAATGTAGACTGTATGCTAGTGACAACTGGGATCTATAATAGGTTTTGAGCCATGTAATGGAAAGGATAAAGACTGATTTTGGGTAGATCAATATTTTAGTGTTGTGCTGGTGGATAACAACAACATTGTAGATTGTCTGTACAGTAGAGTAGGAGTGTAATAGAGTGCTGTTTAAACAGAAGTAATAATTTACTAAGATAAAGCTTTTTAAAAAAAAGAAAATGAAGGCTTCTATTGGATCTGAAAATTTAGATACTTTTCTTGCTTAATTGTTCAAAAGTTGGCTGTGAGACTGTGTAAGTAGGTTACTGCCTTTATTAGAACTGTTATAAAAGATGACTATTTTAAGCAAATAGAACAATCACCTGTAATGTTTATGCCCTCAACAGATGAAAGGCCTGAGAATTCAAATCCATTTTCTTTATTACTTTGGTGCTTTCTGAGAAGAGATTATCAGTTCAAAGCTTTTGAAAACATGAAAATAAGTAACACTTAGCTCAGTCCATAAAGTTGGCTTTTATTACATTCTCTTTATGAAGTTGGAATAAAGTTAGTGAGATGTGGGACTGCCTTTGATTTGCTCTCTAAATTCAGGCAAAGAACAGATTCTGGATGTCACAATTTCCCATCTCTAGGAATATGATAATATGCCTGTTTTATTCATCTCACATGCTAGTCCTATGAATATTTCCAAATGCTTGTTTTTCAAATTATGTAACTGCAACGTTAGATAAATTTTAGCATCCATTTATTACTTTCCTTTTATCTTTGTAAAGTCTCTAAATTTCATTTGTTATAGGATAACATATGTGTTACAGTAATGAAAATGATTTCCTCACAATTGGAACACATTTAAATACTTGAAATGTAATAAACTTTGTAGTATAAATAGAGTTATAAATAGTTTAATAATAATTAGGCTAGTTACTTACATTTGAGAAATAGGCACAAAATAATTCTTCTTCTTACATTCATTATATGAAAAGTAAATGAGAAAGACTTTTAAACTGACTTTGATTTTCTTGGAGAAAAGCATTATCACAGATTATAATTTTAGAGCTCAGAAAGAATATATATGGTTATTTATTAAGAAAAATTGAACACCTATCATAAACCAGACATTGTAGGCACTGGGAATACAGCAGGGAATAAAACAGATGATAATTGCAGTCTCTTGTTGTGTTCCCAGAATAATTGTGTTTGCCTTACTCTTATCAGTTGTAGTACAGTAAAAATAAATGTTTGGACAGTTGTGGCAGAAGAGTATGTGGCCAAATGCATGCTTCCCAGTTTGTCTGCATGAGGCCACTGTGCCCCTGATGATTTCTAATTGCTTATGGAGGCTGATGCTGTGGATCTTGTCATTATCTATTGCCCTACTCTAATTAGTCAAAACAGTGAAACAATGGTGTATGTAGGAATTCTTTTAGTTTCTATTCAAAAAAAAATTTGACACACTTTTTTAATCAGCCAAGATTTATAAGAATGTTTTGAATTTCTAAAGGAAAAATGTTTTACCTTGTAATTTTATTGCCTTTGGTTCTGAACATAAAGTCAAGTGACGATATGGCAATTTCCCTCTTGATGTAAGCAATGTAGATAGCCAAATTGGATAAACAAACTGAAAATTCTCACTGGGGCTTGAATTATCTTGCTGAACCCATGAATTAAATGGAGAGATGTTAGAAATGTCACATTAAGTTAAATCAATTGTTTGTGGAGCATGGTAGTTTATGGAAAAGCATGATATTCTCTTTACGCAACATTGATCTACCTTGAACATTTATTATATTCCCTTAGTAATACATTACTTATCAATTTTCCACAAATCAATTCTCTACAAAGACCTTCTTGATCCCATTTCTATTTTAAGTCAGTACTACCTCTTTAGTAATGGGTTTATTGTCTCTTGTGTGTACTTCACTTCTATATTCCAATGACTCTATAAATGTTAATTTTCAAAATATCCACTACAGCACACTACAATGTGGAATAGATGCTTAACTCATCCATTTCTTTCTTTTATATTATTCTTACCTTTCTAATTCAAAGGGTTTGAATTTTCAACTGATTTTCAGAGCATAAAGTCAAATGATGATATGGTAATTTCCCTCTTGATTTAAGCAGTATAGCTAGCCAATCTATCTACAAAAGTGTAGATAGCCCAAACAACTTTTTATCCTTTTACTCACTTGTAATTCTAGACTCATTTCTCTGTGGTTGAGAGCAGTGAGAAATATGTACACATTCATAAAGAGTCATTTTGTTTATGGGCAATATTTGCTTTATTGTCATATCAGCACGATAAGCATTTTGTTGTACAACAGCAATGAAATAATTATCTTGCGATAATGTGTCAGATATCCTTTTGCTTGATCTCCACTACACTTGCTATTAAATAAACGCCCCAAACTAAAATATTAATGACGTTGTCTATCCTTCTACAGCTCACATATTAAGTGTAATATACTACTTTATCAGTACTGAATAAATATTCATACTGGCAGTTCTTTGGGATTCATGAACCTTTAATATTCTTTGAGTTCTTGGTACATTAACTTCTCTTTGTTAATTTGTGTGTAAATCATTCTTTTTGTAACTTTCTTCAGTCTTTCTAATAGAATCACTCCTGAGATATTGCCAAATGTATTATGCCTTGCCTCCCACAGTGAAGCTTTTATTTCCAAAAGATAAAGTATATTTTGGTGATCTTGTCTTCCCAATACCTTCTTCTTTTCTTATTTTTATCTTCATGCCTTCAAAAGTTCAGTCTCAAATACTTATCAGGAAACTTAATCGATAATTTCAAGTTGATACACTGGAAATTAATTATCCCTTAACATCTCTAGTATAATTTATGCAGATACATATGTCAGCTTTTTTTTTTTTTTGTACCGGGGATCGAACTCGAGAACTTGTGCTTGCAAGGCAGGCTGCAGAACCACTGAGCTAAATCCCTGGCTTAGCTGTGTTTTGATCTTCAAGGTCATTGTCTCTACAGTGCTTTGTTTCAACTGGATTGAATGTGTAGTCTTTACTTGGACTGTAAAATGAATTTGGGAACCAACAAATCTGAACATTGAATTATCTCTTCTAAACAATAGAAGCCAGGTATGATGGCACACACCTATAATCTCAGTACTTGGGAGCATGAGACAGGATTGCTGCTAATTCAAGGCCAGCATGGGCTTCATATTGAGTTTAAAACCAGCCTGAGCTGCATAGTGAGATGCTGCCTCAAAAAACCTCAACAAATAAATGAACAAACAAAGAAACCAAAATAAATTACACAGTGTGATATATTAAATATCTCCAGCTTTGAGGAGTACCTACTAAAGATAACTGTGGACTTTAGAGGCATTACTTTTTGTAATCTTGGCATCACAGTTGTTCATATATGGCATATTCCCTATACCTATGAAATATTTCAGGAAAAATCATATTTAGAGATTATAGAACTAGAGTATCATTATCTACAATTAAACATAAATGACTGTTGGGGAAGTGAGATACTATGGGGACACTGTGAATACCTGCGGCTTTCTTTTCTTAAAACAAACTTCTTCCTAGGAAATAAGCAGAGAAGAATTTTGCCTTATATGTGAAGATATCTCTTCCCATTTTCCTTGAGTAAACATGTGGCTACTTCTAAAATGTAGATTTTTTTGTCTAAAGAGTTTATACTTGGTTCAGTGCATTATTTGAGGAAAAATTTTTTTAAAAAGCTTAGCCTCTTTTACTTGCACAAGAAAAGTCCAGAAACAATTGACACTTTCTTAAAAAGAGAAGACTCAGACCAAGAAAGACCTTTTGATCTTGACTAGAGGCATTATTTCCCTTCCTAAGTTTAGCGGAACACACTGAAGAGGACTCAAAACTGGCTCCTGTGGTTTGTGTCCTCCAGCCCAACACAGCACCTTACCATAGTACAGCAATGACATGGAGAAGATAGTGATAAAGGGCCCAGAGCAGCTGATCTCCAATCTGTAGATGACATGAGCAGAAAGCTTTGAACAAGTGTGGAAAGGCATGACACTTGTCTTCCCTTCTGAGGAAGCCAGGGTGCATCTTGCTCAGCCATCATGTTCCCAGAGGGATGCGATTTAACTTCCACTTTTCACACAGTAAGAATCAACACTGTTGACCTGTTGGGAAGGTGTGGCCACCAGGGAGGAATGTGGAAAAGTGTTTTTCACTCCAGTGTTTTCATGTGACCTGATCTCATTCTCAATTTAGTTACATCATGACCTCTAAAGGGCAGCCATGGTGTGCCTCTCTCCATTTAGTGCACCTCGATTTCTGATGCCCTTGCCCCTCCCTCCTCTTCTCCCACCCCATGCAGCCTCCTCTGCTTTCCTTGCAGTCTACTGATAGTTCCCCCCCTAGATGTCGGTACAGTATTTGCACTCTGATTTCCTGGGTATGGACTGTCCTTCCAGAGAGAAGAAATATATTTGAGTTCCTGAGAAATAAGATATCCGCTCAAAAGCAGCCTAAGCAGTTCCTGATGTCTTCCTAAGGATTATTCATATATCTGACAGCTTAAGACCTTCCTTGTAGGCAGTACAGGCAACAATAGTCCCCACATCTCACTAGCTTCGCTTCCCTCCCCCCTATTAAACGACTGAGTTTTATGCATGAAGTAATAGACAAGCCATGGGTGACCTGTTTTTTTTTTCCCTTCCCTCCCTTCCCCCCTTTTTCCCTTGCGGTAAAATAGTGCTGAAGAAAGAGGGCACTAGTGTACAGCCCAGATTGCATCCTTGCACCGTCTGGATTGGAGCTGAGGCGTCTGCGAACTGAGGGATGCCAGGGTCTTCTGACCTGGGGACCACAGCTCTCTCTACCCCGACTCAGGTAAGTCTTAAGTCTGCATCCTTCAGACAGGTGAGCAGACACCTAGCCGTGGCGAAACCTACCCACAAAGGCAGACTCAGTCTAATCTATTGGATTTCCTCCTAATTCCAGGCAGATCTCTGCTTATTTATTTCTTTTAGTTCTGCATGCTTGGGAAGCGGCAGGGGCGGTGGGTGTCTGGGTTGTCTTCCTCCTTTTGCCTGCTTCTCCTTCTGAGCTCTCGCTCCCTGCTCCCTGCCCGCTCCCATAGCCCCTTTCTCACCCGACTCTCACCTTGAGAAGGGATGGGGAGAGACAGGAGAGGGAGCCAACTTCAGCCTCGCAGGCGGCGGAGGTTTGGCGCCTCTGCCCCCAGCCCGGTGGCTGGGTTTGAATACAGACCTGCAGAAGCACTGCCAGCGAGCGGAGAGAAGGAGGTTGGAGCAACGGTGGGGAGGCGAGGGGAGAGGTGTGTGTGTGTGTGTGTGCATGTGTGTGCATCTGAGTAAAGAGCATGGAGGAGGGAGGTAGAAAAAAAAGGGGGAGTGGATCATGGAATTGCAATTCACGGGTCAAAGCATCCTTCGCAGGCCCTGCGGGGGACCGGGTCTGCGGCTGGGCTGGGCGCTGTCCGGGGTGCTGAACGCGGCATGGCTTGGGCTGCGGTGGCAAAAATCAGCGCTCTCTTCCGTTCCCTTTGCAGCAACTGTGCAAAGCCCAGGGGTCCTATCTGTAGTCAGGAGACCTTTTACCTCTCTCCATGTCGGAAAACAAGTCACCCTAGCTGCACCTCTTCTCCTTGAACATGTACAGTACGCTTGACTTCTTGGGAGTGGGGCGCATACCACACTCCAACATATGGAGACTTTACCAGGCGTTGCCTTAGTAACTAATATAGATTTTCCACAAACTGGCAGATTTATATTTACTACTCGGATTGGATGTCCAGGTCTCTTCAACCCCTCTAAGTTAAAGTAAGAGGTACACCACTTGTTTGCATTCATTTTACAGTAGCGCTCCCACCTTTGCAACACGCTTCCAAATTTTCTTCTGGGAAAAAGTTGATCTTTTCAAATTCGGAAAGTTCTCTTAGGTTGGAGGATTTAGCTCCTCCCCTCCTTTCTTCACCCACCCCAGTTGCTCCAGTGCCTCCCTCCCCCAGTTAGGAAGCGTGGTGAGTACCTGGGGACAGGGATGAGACTCAGGCTGCAGGAAGAGGCGGGTCGGGGGCTCTGAGCGCCAGGACCACGGGGCGTCGGGGCAGCAGGCAGCGCTATCCCCAACCACTGACCTGCCTCCCGCGCTGAGCTGTCCCTGCAGCCGCTATCAGGATGTGTTGAAAGGAAACGGACCAGGCAACAATTAGCATCACTGACCCCAGGTTTAAACACAGATCCTGATCAACCGGCTTTGATTTTTTTCTCCCCTTTATTTTCTCACCAGCGTCCGGCTCACCGCTGCCAGCACGACGTGCAGTGCACGCTTGATCAATTTACCTTGATACACCTGTGAAGAACGGGGACTCGATTTCCCTTAAAAACGCCTCCAGGGCGCGGGGCGGTCGTGGAGGACCCGCAGGAAGAGGTGGTGGGGAACGAGGCGTAGGCGGTGGACGAGCAGCGCTGGTGAGGGGGACCCAGTCGCGAGAGGCAGCGGCGGGCGTCCGGAGGTGCGTGCGGAGCCTGCGGGCGCGACCGGCGTGGGCACGCGGCTGCGGGCTGCGGCTGCATCCTCAGCACGATGGTCCGGCTCCTCTTGGTCTTCCCAGCGATCTTCTTGGCGATAGCGCTGCTCCCTAGCAGCCCCGGTAGGAAAATGCTGCTGGCGGGAGCCTCGTCTCAGCGCTCGGTGGCCAGAATGGACGGGGATGTCATCATCGGAGCTCTCTTCTCAGTCCACCACCAGCCTCCGGCGGAGAAGGTGCCCGAAAGGAAGTGTGGGGAGATCAGGGAGCAGTATGGTATCCAGAGGGTGGAGGCCATGTTCCACACGCTGGATAAGATCAACGCGGACCCGGTCCTCCTGCCCAACATCACCCTGGGCAGTGAGATCCGGGATTCCTGCTGGCACTCTTCTGTGGCCCTGGAACAGAGCATTGAGTTCATCAGGGACTCGCTGATTTCCATTCGAGATGAGAAGGATGGCCTCAACCGGTGTCTGCCCGACGGCCAGCCCCTGCCCCCGGGCAGGACTAAAAAGCCCATTGCAGGTGTGATCGGCCCAGGCTCCAGCTCCGTAGCCATTCAAGTCCAAAACTTGCTCCAGTTGTTCGACATCCCTCAGATCGCCTATTCTGCCACAAGCATCGACCTGAGTGACAAAACTTTGTATAAATACTTTCTGAGGGTTGTCCCTTCTGACACTTTGCAGGCAAGGGCGATGCTAGACATAGTCAAGCGTTACAATTGGACCTATGTCTCTGCAGTCCACACGGAAGGTAGGCATTATGTTTGGGTGAGGGAAGTTCTGAGAGCCAGGGCATTGCATGATGAGCTCCTGGGATCATAGTGTCCTCCCTGTTTATTTCTAGCACTGTGAGAAACAGATTTTACCTTTTGGTACACATTCATCCGGGCATTGCATTTTACCCTAATTTCCTTATCATTATAGTGTAAGAAAACTGTATCTAGAGGCGTTTCTAGGGATAGGAGGAGCAGAAATGATGTACATCTCTCCATACAGAGTCCAGCTCTAGATATTACACTGACAGGATGGCTTGCCTCCATATCTGGAGTCTGTATTTGTCAGGGTTATGGGCAGAAGCTGTATTATATCACCCTTCAGTGACTGGCCATGACTTACCAAGCTTAACGGGCTAATCCAAGATGAGTGAATAACAACTGAAAAATCTGTCTCATAATTTAGACTTGAAAGCTTTGTCTTATCTTCAGCAGCTGAAGGTTCTCTTTCATCCTTTTGTGCCCCTTGCTACACTTCCAAGACTTCCTTGATATGTAGGACTAATGGAGTCATTTCCTACAGGATATCAAAAACTCACATTTTCAATTTTGGAGTACCTTTGAGACAAAGAAAAAGTAAAGAATTTAAACCATTTACTTTTTCTTTATATAATAAAACCATCCAAACTTTCTCACTCCCTCCAAAATTATTTGGTTTTGTAAAAAAATAGAACTAAAGACCTCTCAGAGTTGAGTTTTGGTTTTTAGTCTGTTTCTTCTAATGTAATGACTCTCCTTTTTGGAATTTAAAGTTAGACCAATTATAAATTACCAATAAAAGGACAGTAGATGCCAGGTTTAAATGGCTTTTTAAAATGAAACGGATTGACCTGAGGTTAAAAGCTTTGATTTTTCCAGAGTTTTACAGGTACAAATTCTCAGAATTTGTTAAAGATTTTCTTTACTCTCTTTGCTTTATAAATTTACTCTTTTTGCCTATATAAATTTTTGGATTAAATGAGTATTTTTTTTTAGTGCATCTATTCTTAACTTCCCTAGTAGGTTTGTAATTAAATTTAGGTCCTATTAATAAACTGGCATCTGGGATAACTCACCTGTATATTTTCTGGCAGGTAGAAGAGAATCTTGAGGGTATTGGTGCATTCATATTTCTTAAAATCAAATTATTAAAAAAGGCCATAGAGATGACTTCATTTAAAAATATTTACAGTGTTCAATGACTTGTGTGAGATTTGATCATAAAAATTAAGAAGCATTCTTATGAAGTAGCTGTGTAGTTGTTGCCCATGGAAACAGCTGCTTTAATGTATAAAGAGAACAGAGTTTTCAGAAGAAAAAATCTAGAACTATACACTATATTCCAAAAGACTTTGCTTTTGGTGAAAAAAAAACTTTTTGCTGCAATATAGTGCTTTCAACATCTGATTCTTATTTCTGATTCTTGATTTTTAAATTAACTTCTTTTTAAACACAAACTCATTAATTTTTAAGACAAAAATTGAAGTTCCAAAGTTAATTTCTTACATGTTAATGTTTAATGTTAATTTCTTATATTTTAATGTTTAGTAGTTTCTTCTTAGATGGAACATTCTGAAAGCACAAGTTAAAAATACTGGAAATATCAGCACTGAAGTGGTCTCTCCGAAAGCAATGGCAAAGATCTAGATTGAGTATGCTTTATTTAAATATTTAATAATTCTCCTTCCATTGAACTAGGTAATTGATTATTGGTATTAGAAGTATAAGCTCATCCTTCAAGAAGAGGTAATACTTCATAATTTTTATGTAGTAGTTTTATCTTTCATGTTTTATTATGAGATATTTTATTTCAGGGGAGGGAAAGAATAGAAGGCATAGAAGAAAGACTCCTCTCTCCTGAATTTATTTTGCAATTGCACCACTTTACTAAAAACAATTGATAATAGAGGTTGTTTTCTGAGAATAGAATTACATTTGTGAAAAAATTGGACCAGTGCTTGCTAATTTTTGTGAGGAAGGACTTGCATTATAATTTTACATATATATAAGTTTGGATTACTTTCTTTTCTGCGTTCTGACTGCTGCATGGCCAGAGACAAGTTCTCTACTGTATTACAGTAATTTATTCCAGACTGGATTGTGTTCATAGAACAGACAGCATTATAGCTAACCTTGGTGTTTATTCTATTACAGGAGATCACACCATTCACTTTGCCATTCATGTATGCTATCTTGTTTCTTCTCCAAAGGAATTAATTTCTCCTCTTATTAGACATAACAACTGTGAAAACTAAATTGCTTTTATTTTCTCCTATCTGCAGATCTATTTTGTGTAAGCTCTTTTGTGCAAGCTCCAACTGAACATGTTTCCTGAGGCTCTGGCCTCTGCTTCTCAGGGACCCATGGTGCACTGGCCTACAGGCCCTTTCTTGGATCACTTAGTAATTTTCCTGCCTTTGGAATGATGGGGTCACCTACTGGTGACAGTTTCCTGTCAAACTGCAGCTAAGACCACATATCTTTGTTGTCTCTACCATCTGGCCACTATTTATCAATGAATCCTATCTGTCTGAATATTGGCAATTTGGAGTTGAGAAAACTCGGACTTCCAATGACCTTCAGTTCTCCTTCCCAAATCAACCTTTCCCTCACCAATTCATCACCAGGTCTTTCATTAGAAACTAACCTACTATGGTTACTATCCAGATGTCTAGACTAGTGTACCTTAATTTTTATACTGAATTTTGTGACTTTAAAGTCATATATGGAGCATCCATTCTTTGAATGCCTTATTGTTTTTATACTCCTTTATACTTCATTTTATACTGAGGTCAGCTTTGAGATTTTTTTCTGTTTATCTAAACCACTAGAATTTTGATGTTAAATTCCCTTTGTTTTAAATATACTACAGTATCACCTCATTTGTGCTGCACACATCCTTTGACCATGACAACTGTCAGTTTAACTGACATAAAAGAGAATCAGTATATGTGAAGTCACCTACAATTGACCCTCCAGAAACTGTTTATGATTGCTCCCTGAGAGAAATGTTGAGATAGGTCTGTCAAGGGGGTAGCAGGCTTCTTAAGCAGCAGGGCCTTATTTACTGATGAAATCCGAATGTACTCCAGAATAAGCTGCTCACCTGCAATGTGTGTCTGCAAATATACTCAGCGTAGAGTACTAAAATAAGCACTTCTGAGGTGAGTATCTCGGCCAAGGACACTTTATTCTGCTCTTCTGATAAAATGCAGACTCCCCATCAAAAGCCAAGTTTATAATTTCAGTTTACAGTACTTCAAAATAATTTTAGTTGTTTGAATTCAAATCACTGAACCAGTGCAATGAACAATATTCTTTGAGTTTGTAGCTTCAAAGAGATTCAAAAAATTGGATATATTTTCATTTGTTTTAAGCCTCTCAGATTTTGTTGTAGGCAGAAGAGCAGTGACAAAGCAAGCTTAATGATGCTGCTTTTCTTATGAAAATATCCACTTTAAGGTGGCTTTTTGTTTAGTTAGGGTTTAATTGTGGTGCAACATTTTTTGGACATTTTCTTATATTTTATATGAAAATTGCCCTTTTGTGCTTCTTTTCAAAGTCTCATCTTTTTCTTTACAGAATTTTTCTCCTGTTTGATATAATATCTAACTTAAACAATATCCCCTTAACCCGTAAATATATATGTTAACCATTGCTTTAGATAATGCAATTACATATAATAATTTTGTATCTACTCTCACCTTATCTTGTTAATTGACCAATAACCTTCTCTATAGACTTTTTTTTGTCTTGATTGCAATCCATTGTACATGATGTTATTTCAATACATTGTTTTATTTTATCATAGAACAAAGAATGAAAGTATATTGAAAAGTTATTTAGGCCAACCACTTAAGGATGCTTAAAACACCACTATTCCATCATTGCCCATACTCCCCGTTTTCTCATTGTGATTAGGGTTTCTAATGAGAGTGAGGGGATTTATGAGTAGATTTCAGATGATGAATTTCACATGACTCTTAGTCCATTCTTTTACATACATGAAAGATGACCCTAAACTTTCACCAATTCTCTACCAACTACTGTGAGTCATAGAAAACAACTCAAGCTCTTCTTCCATGTGATATTTGTTATCAATGAATCCTTTCTTCTTCCTACTGTACCTCACCAGTCTCTTTCCTCATATATTGCTTTTTTTCTCACATCAAAGCTGATTCAACTAGATCCTGGATCAACCAGTATCCCAAAATCTTTAAAAAATTATGCACTACTATTAAGCCGTATGTGTTTCTGTTATCCTTGAGTAACTATTAGTATTGTCATTATTCATAATATTATTTTATCTGTGTATAAATTTGATCTTTTCTTTTAAACATGAAATTGTCTTAAATCTGCCTAACTTACTAATTAGTTCCCACATTTTGATTAATTTATCTTGCTGTCTCAACCTTGTGTTTTCAGGATTTAATAATGGACATTAAAACTTGAGTAAGATACAGTCAAGTGCAAAGCCCCAGCCCTCTCATCTGCAAACTGCTTCCTTGCTACCTTCAGTGGTTACTCAGCCTGTTATGAATTCCCTGGGCAGTGTGCTTTTCTACTGTATATCATATGCCACCTTGTACATACATAAAAACTACAAGTCGTTTAAATGAAAAGCTATTGCAATAAATATTCAACTGTACTTGAACATTTACTGCAAAAACTATGTAAGAAATTTGAAGACTTAGTCTCAGATACTAAGTAGTTTCCACATTAAAGCAAGTGTACTTTGAATACACATAAAATAAACAAAAACAAATAAAAACTAATCATTGAAGTATAGACATTTTAAAACATGAATTTACACATGTTTAGGAAGTTTTAAGAGAAAACATTGGTCATGTAATCATTTAGAGAAAAGCTAGAGAGAAGGGAATCTTCCTTAATGTTTTATTTGGGAATATAGCATTTATGAAGTTAGAAACAGTACTGAAAGTGTCTCCATGATGGGAAATATAAACAGATCTACTTAGCTGAAGAATTTGGGCCAGGA